TGTTCAGCCAGCTGTCGACCAGCACCCCCAGGTCTTTTTCTGCTTGACCACGTGTATGTGTAAGAGTGCTGGGGTACATCTGATCCTTGTGCCATGGAGGGAACCCAAATGCAGCTCACCCTGCTCCTGCCTGGGGTCATCACAGCCCTGCAGACCCGCCTGCGCTATGCAACAACACAAGGTCAGGGGCAGGATGCGAATCGTGGCTCATCATCACACCAAGGTGGGAGTCTTACGGCTGCAGAGCACGTGCCCAAGCCAGGGCACCAGCAAACAGCCAGGTCTGGGGCATCACGGTGCCAGCACACCCCGAAGCCTAGCCGGAGACATCGCAGAGGGAATCAACAGCCCTTGCCTGTCTGACTTCCTCAGAGCCAACACCAAAATGACACTCGGAGCAGCAGAGAGGCAGCTTCCCTCTTCCCCCGGTTCCTGCAAGGAGCCATTCAGGGCATCAGTAATGGCTGGTAAGTCCCGCTGGGCTGCTGACCGTCGCCTGCGGGAAGCATCGGACCCACAAGCCCTCGCTGTCGGCTCATACTCCCATCCCTGCTCTCTGCTTTCCCCGGCACGCCCTGCCCTGTGCGGTGTCGCAAGAGCTCACGGACCCGGCCGGGGCTCCCACCGGCCTTTCCAAAGAGCTGCCTGGAAGTCATTTGCTGACCATGGCGGCTCCTCAGAGCTGCCCCACGCTGTGCGTGCCATTCCTCGTGGTCAGCTTTGTGCAAACTCGGCTGGAGCCTCTGGACACCGCTGCCATCATACAAGTCATTAACAACTGCGCTAATGAGTTCCATTATGCCAGGCCGGCTGCCCAAAGCGCCCCGGGACAGCCAGGCCCCATAAGCATATGCCTGGGAGTCTGGGTCTCCAGCACTGGCAGGTGTCAGCACACAAATCTGCTTCCATTTACAATCTTTTTTTGTCATTTACAGAGAAACTTCTCATGAAGGGCTGGAGGCAGTGAGAGAAACAGGGACACCCCCTCCCACAACTGAACCCCCTCTCCTCTTGCTATCAGGTTTCCTTCCAGCCACCCAGGCTCCAGGCCTCTCCTTCCAGCTGGGCAGGACATTTTTAGCTGGCCCTTTTCTAGCCAAACCCATGGAGAATCAAGTCTTGCAAGAGGGGAAAAAAATGCCATCCCCACAGGAGAGTGGTTCCAAAGAGGACTCCCCTGGGCCGCAGGACGCTCTGCAATAACTCCAAGAGCTGTTTTTTGTCTGACTATGTGCTTTTAACTGGGATGGAAGATGACAGGTTCTCCTTGCCCGACCAAACCAAAGACCGAGAGATGTATCTGTGAAGATCAGTCCGCCAGACAGCCCTGCTTCTGCCCAGGCTTCCTCTCGAGTGCCTCAGGCAGCCGGGAGGCTCAAAACCAGGACTTGAGAATCTGTAGACTTGGCTTTAAGCCTCCCCTTCTCCAGACTGCTGGGCTGTAGACACAGCAGCTGGTAACATTTTAAATTAGAGGCTTACATTCACTTAACGACGTATTCAGCTTTGATTTACTGAAGGAATTACTGCATGTTAAATGAATACAAGCTGATTATTAAACAGACGCAGATTGCAACCTATCATCTATGCAAGAGACGGGATCTTATTACGATATTAGAACCATATTGAGGTTTAGCAACTGTCAATTGGTCCCTTGCAATTTGCACTGAGCAACTGTGCCATCGCCATCCGCACTTAGAGACACTTCGCCGGACGCCTGAGCCAGGCAGACTCCAGCTGTTCCAGAGAAGGTCCAGCCACCCCCCCACAGCCCAAGGGCAGAGCAGGGGATGCTCCCTGGGAACGCAAAGCACGACCTCTCCCAGCCATACTCACCCAAAAGGGTCCAGGTCTTCCCCACCAACAGCGAAGGGGCTCAAGGGGGAAGGCCTGAAACACAGAACACAGCGAGATGTTCAGCGAAGGGGAGACCAGCTGCGTGGAGCGAGCAAGCAGGCAGGGCAGTGCAGCCAGTGTGGTTGCCAGCGCTGTGCTCATGGGTGTTCTCCCACGGCAAGCACTGCAGCACCCAAAGGGCCCTGGGACCTGCAGGACCCTGCACAAGCAGGCTGCCGTTGGGAGCCACCCCGTGCCGAGCATACAGCGTTCCCTGCTCCAGGGTGTAGCTGGGTGTGGACACCGGTGTGCGTGGCAGGCTTGTGGGAAGCTTGCTGAGATGAAGGGGGCCCTGCTGTTCCCACTGCTCCGGGCTGGAGCTGTCTGTGGACGCTGGGAGTTTCCATGCCAGGGGCTCCCTGAGTGGTGCCAGGCTAGGACAGGCTCTCCAGCGTGTCTCAGCTGGAGACACAATGACAGTCCCACTTCCAGGAGTGCAAGGACAGTGGGGCGGTGAGTGTGCAGCCAGCTGTCACATCTCCTTGCCAATAATATGTGCCAATAACATGGTTTCAGAGCAGTGTCCAGCTCCAGCCTGTCTGCCGAGGCCTCCCCAAGGAGCATCTCGCACCCTGAGGACCAGCAGACAGCAGTAGGGTTAAGGAAGTAAGAGGTGACACACAAGGCAGAAGCCACGGCCAGTCCCCAAGAGATGGCAGAGCCACCGCGGTGTCTCTGACTTCCAGCCAAAGGGGATTACAGCTTGCAGGGGGAGAGAGGGGGGAACTCATCCACCACGTACAAGGGATGGCTGGGCACGAAGGGGCCAGGGAAGGATGGTGAAGCAGGGGCCATGTGTCCCCTCTCCCCAGCTTTGCCAGCAAAGGGTTTCAAAGGGCAAGCAGGGTCAGGAGAGCAAGAAGAAGAGCTTTCTGTTCTCCCCTCACAGCTCCTGGGCCTTGCCCCAAGTGCCAGCTGGGTGCAATGTCCTGGGAAGGCAGCTCTACCTGGCACAGCAGGCAAGAGGCTTAGAAGGCATCCCTGGCTCTGTGCCAAGTCACAGCAGAGCTCTGCACCCACCACATGCCCTCTCCCCTCTGCCATCAGCACAGACCCCACAGCTCTGCCACTGCCCACAGCATGAACTGACACCCAGCACTCTGATGTTCCTCCCGGAGGCTGCATGACCCCATGACGGCATCGTCCTTCCCACTGCTGTCCCTGCTCTGCCCACCCTGGAGCCGGTCCCTCGGCCAGCATAGAGCAGGGCCTCCCTCCTTCCACCACACATCTTCCTCCTAGCCCTGCACGCTGCCCTCTCCCTCCTGGGTCTGTAGGTTTCCAGCTACAGCCCCAGGCACTTCCAAAGGAGGGTCAAACCAACACACAGCTCCATCCCTCAGTGGGCAACCTAAATCAAACCCCAGCATTCAGCCAGTGAGGCTGAAACTGGCTGGGGAGGGTTTGGATACTCTTCGTTCCCCAGCCCACGCATGCATGATGGGGACCAGAGGTGTAGCTGGGAGAGCTATGCCAGGACTACTCCCGTCTAGTGGAAGACAGTCAGCAGCCACCTGCTCTTTACTCACCAGGATGGTGCTCTCGTGCCTGCCCGCTGCTGAGGAGGGACCCTGAGGGGGTCGTAATCCCGGTGCAAGTCAGGATCCTTCTTCTCAGCCTCAGGCTCCTTTTTGACCTTTTCTGTGGGGGCCCCGAGGGGAGCGATGATGCCCGAAGCAATCCTTGTCCTCAGCTCCTCCATGTTTTTGTACACCCTGCAGGGGGGAGAGGCAAGGCGCTGGGCTGGGGAGGCCACGGCACCTGGGTGTGAGGTGCCAGACAGGCTGTGAGAGGGGTGGTGAGGGGACGGACAAGCCCAAGGTGCCCGTGGCACAAAACGTGTCCCCAGCCGGCAGCACAAAGGGGACGAGAAAGCACCAAGGCCCTCACCCACTTAAGGCGGCAGAGGTGCCACCCAGTCCAGGGGACTCCCTTGTGCTGTGGCCACAACCTGACCAGTTTGCACTGCAGGAAACCACAGCACATGGCACTGGGCTTCAGCGAGGCCACGGGGCGTCTGGGACACGGCTGAAGCTGTAGCACCCCTGGGCAGTGTCCACCCAGCACAGACAGGCAGGCAGTGCTCCGGAAATAAAAGGGCTGGCCTGGCCCGTTCCCAGGCGGGGTGGATCTCCCCTGGCGCTCTGACCTACGGTGCCACTGTTCCCTAAATCTCTCTTGCCTGCCAGCAGTGCAGAGGGAGGCAGGGGAGGGAACTCTGGCTGCATTTCAGGGCTCACTGGCCTGTTCCCATGCTTGTACTGGGGAGGAAAGTCCTCCAGGCTCCTCCTAACCTGGTCTCTGCCTCCCTCCCCATGCCAGTGGGACATTTTGTCCTGCAGAAAATACCAGGGAACTGAGATTACTTGTGGAAATCATCCAGGTGTTCCGAGTTGATGTAGTCGGCCACTGCCAAGGTCACATCTGCCACCTTCTGAGAACTGCGATCCTGGCAAAAGACAGGCAAAGCGTGGAGTCAGCAGCCCGGCAGAGCTGGGAATGAGGGAAGGAGCAGGTACAACCACAGCCAGGGGCTTGGGACACAAGGAACGGGCTCACTTGCTTCCTGCCAGGTCCCTGTGCTGTGCCCAAATCCCTAGGAGCAAACTCCAGTGTACAGCGAGGCTCTCCCTGCTCCCTCCCCCAAGCCGGGCTGCAAAGGGTGAAAGGCTGAGCAAAACCAGGCAGGTGTTTGTTTGGGATGGGAGGAGATCTGCAGAAAAGTCCCAAGCTGGGAAAGGGACAGAAATGGGGCAACTCCTGGGCTAGACTGTGCAAACTGCATCGCTGCCCTGATGCGGCCAGTGTTTGACTAGCTTCACGCTGGGCCACATCTTCTGCCGCAGAGGCAGCCCCTAACACTCCCTGGGTCTGCCCCATCCTGAGGGACAAACACCGCTGCAAGGTAGAACAAGTAACAGCAAAAATTTACGAAATGGGCCCTGCTGTTCTTTGCAACTGCTGCTCCCAAAGGACCTCAAATCTGCAGAGACCAGCGTGGATGCTCACCATGACGTTGAGGATCATACTGTCTTCCACCATGATGGCCTTCAGCAGCAGCTCACGGGCATCGTCTGTCGACTTATAGCGCAGTGTATACACTTCCTTGTTGGCTTCCCAGCCGGCGGGCAGCAGCTCCGACTTCTTTTCATCAGGACCTGGCTGCAACAGAACAGACATGCTGCTGAGACCCTCCCCACGAGCCCACCATGCTGCAAGGCTGGGCGGACCTGTCTTGGCTCCACAGAGAGATCTAGGAGGGGATCTAGGCCTGCGGGAGTGGATCCAGGCCTCCGGGAGTGGATCTCTCAGTGCATTCCACATTTTGACTGCGGGTGCAGGGCTTTATTTCCTACAGGCTGGCCCTGCCTGCTTGCCAGCCTCCCACAGGGTCCTTGCGCTGGAACCGGAGGGACACAACCACCCTTTGCTGAGCAGGAGAAGGCAACAGAGACCCAGACTGGGGGATGATGCTCTTCCCTGCCTGGCACTTCTCAGCTCCCCAGCATAGGACAGAGTTGTCTGGGACTGGGGCAGTTGGGGGAAGGCTGTCGTCCTG